ATGGAGAAAGGACTTCTCACAGCAGGAATTCTACCCCTCTCTTATTGTTCTCCTCACTCTCCAACTCTGCACAACTTGCAGCTTTGATTTTGACATTCAGAATTTCCCAAAACCTCTTCTAGAGGATAATGCATCACAATCATACAAAGAATGGAAATTCACTTGATCTCCACCATTCTGAGAAGAAACATCATTTTTCAAATGCACAGAAGTGACAAATGGACAAACTAAAAGAGGAATGGCCATTGGACAGAGACTGCTTCATCAAACTGTGCACTTAGGGGGAATTCCGCACCTCTTTGATCACATTCCCTGATCCACAAAGATGTGACTTCTTCTTAGGTCATCTTTGCATCTGCTAACCCATGACAAAATTAGAACACAGATGTACCCTCTCCTATCTCCTGCTTCCTCACTAGCTGTAACACGACAAGGAAAGAAAGTCAGACAAGCAATGAAAGGAAGCATAAACTCACTAGGCAGGCATGGAAAGTCATCCCTGAGAGCAGCAGGAACCCATTGAGGACTCAAGCTGTAAATGTCACCCCCTGAAGTCTTACTCCAGACAACAAGTATGATTTCATTTTATATAAATAAGTTAACTATTTAATATAGTCAACAGCTCTCATCAGTTTTCTTACTGTGTGGCCTGCTCACCTCTCACAAACATGAAGCCCCATGTTTAAAGGTCTTATTGTGGGCCTCTTTCTCGGCCTGTCTTCAGAGAAAGCATAACAGATTCTCTTTAAGATTCTATTTCTTCTTCTTCACATATAAAAAATTGTCTTAGGAGGTCAAAATAAGTATTTGCTGCTAAACAACACTCACAGTTTCAAATGAAAAAGTACTGATCAGAAAAGGGGGGAAAGTACCATGACCTTCCAGGAAACAAAGGTCTGAACCAAAGTGTTGTTACAACTGTGAAAAAACTCTGCATCACAAAGTCACAAGGAAGATATAATTTTGAATAAAGAGGTTTCACGGAGCAGCAGAGTGACATAGTGAGCATCAACTCAGGCCTTTCCCACTGTGTGCAATTTGACTATGAACCAACCACTTTATCACACAAACACGACAGCCAAACTGAGCTGCCTTTGAGCTCTTCATGTGAGGCATGAAGACTGTATGGCAACAATCCCATTAAAGTAGGATGGCTCACAAGGTTGCTCCTCAAGGCTGAAAGCCCTTTTACCAGTGACAGAGTCCAATTTCACCTCTCCCTGAAGTGCAGCTGGACTGCCTGCCAGGTGACTCTCTCCTTCAACAGGCACATCTCTCGGGGTTTGAAAGTCCTCCAGTGAGACTAAGACATCTATCCTTACCCAAGGCACTGACAATCCTTACCCAAGGCACTGAGAATCCTTACCCAAGGCACTGAGAATCCTTACCCAAGGCACTGACAATCCTTACCCAAGGCACTGAGAATCCTTACCCAAGGCACTGACAATCCTTACCCAAGGCACTGAGAATCCTTACCCAAGGTACTGACAATCCTTACCCAAGGCACTGACAATCCTCACCTGCAATAGATCTTTACTAAGTGGATGGAAAATAAACACAAATTAAATGCATGCAGCTAATTCCGTTAAATACAAGCCATTGTCCAAGTCTAAAACTAAGACTGGACCTGACTGCACCTAAACTCCATCAGCAGTTTAGGCAGCAAGTGTGTCCACTCTGACATTTGTGACTCAGCATGAGGGACTCCCTCACTCATTTCAATCTCCAGTCTGTGTGTAAATAATTCCAGGTTGATTCTGAGTCAATTCTCCTTTGTGTGTTTCATCCATGTAGTAAATAATAGATATTGCACCCACCCACATCTAAGATCCATCAGGAGTTAAGGAAGCAAGGGGATCCATATGATAACAGTCCTTTTTATATTTCAACACTGAAAGTAACAGAGAGAACCTTGCTATCAAAGTTTGTTATGATGCATTTCTACAACATATTAAAGCCACTTTTGTTAATACCCCTGACAGGGAAGCATTAAGGAATAGAAATCACTCATTCACAACATCTAGCCATGCATCAGGCCTCTAAATGCAAAGTTCTTGGACAAATGCTCTATTATCAGAGGACTACAATTGCCTTTCTGGACAGAGAAACTCAAATCACAGACAAAAATAACACAGGCCTTGACACCAGGCAAGAAATCAAAACATTGATCAGCCAAAACCACATTGACTCACATGTTTTCCTGGTACAAAGTCAGCCTCTCACCCTCCTTGCTCTGCATTCACAGCCTTTTTCACACCATGGACAAATCCAACTTCTGACCACATGTCAACCACAAGTGACAAAGCAGATGGTTCATTCAGCAAGATTTTAGGGAAAGACAAATCTTTGTCTTGGCAGCTGAACACCTTCAAGGTATGGAAGAGAACTCCTCCTGCAGCCTGAGAGTTTGAACAGATCTCTCTGGTTTTAAGAACTATCAGCCAAACTGAGGCCCACTTTTAGAACATGAGAAGAAACAAGAACGAAAAAAAACGAAAAATGGGAAACTCGCAATAATGTAGGAATCTTACCTTAACATTTCCAAATATAACTGTAGCAGGAAGAGGACTGATTATCGAGAGGTACAGTTCTCCAAGTAATTTCTTTGGAAAACAGGGAAAACACACAGGAACACAATTATTGCATCCATACAACAGCCAGGGGAAATGGAACACTTCCACCAACCTTTTAGACATTCCGAAATACACCACAGCAAATGCTTCCACCTACCCTGTGTCTGTGCAGACAGAATGTTTCAGCATGTCCAAACATCATGCAACAAGGCAAGCTGCCCTTTATAGAGAGATATCTCCTTATGGAGAACAAGGATCACAACACAGATCCATGCATAAGCCATTCTCTGCTCATCACACTCATTTCAAGAAACCTGAAATGTTCTAAGGGGCATAACCAAGATGCAGCTCAGTTAAAGACTGAGTCACCAGAATCGACTCAAACACACCATCATTCTTCCCCAGCACACGGACCTTTTGGAAGAATCTGCCACCTTTAATGCAAAGTTTATGTCTTTATCCCAGAACTACCACTCACAGGAACAGCTGCATTGGACATGACAGAGGATAAAATAAGTGGCTTCCTGGCACATACTTCAAATAACAAGCCCCAGACTCAGAAATTTCTGACAAATAAACCTCCCATCCATAGGTTCCCACCAATTTTAATACCAACAAAACACCACTAGTGACTTCCTATGAGCAAGAGCCACTTAATAACATCTGAAGGGTTGGTCAAGACTGCAGAAAGATTAGTCCAACCACAATGAAACTCTACACCACAACCTTACAAGGGTCTAGAGCTGGAAAAAGTCACATTTCACACAGCAGTTTAACACACAGAACCCCTGAAGCATGGTTGCCATTCCATGGGCATTGCTTGCAGCCAAATTCATCAGAGGATTGTCACCCCCTTTCTGGACACAGGAAAGGGGCACTTCATGTCAGTGACACAAGGCCTTGGCACTAGGCATGACATGAAAGAATCCCCAGGGTGGCTTTGGGGTCAGTCTCTCTCTCCTTGATCTTGCACTGACTTCTCACCATGGTGAAAAACAAGATCAGTGATTCTATGGACATTTTCAGATAAAGTTTTGGACACACCCAGGCCCACCTTTACCTCATCAAGACAAACACAGCAACAGTTGAACTGCCCTTCCCAGGGAGTGTCACAGGCAGTAGGAAAGGAAACTGATGAACTCACAGCTTGTCACTGTTTGGAATCTGAGCCTATTCAATTTATCTAATCCAGCAATGGACCCTGGGAATTGAAAACCCACAAGCTTCCTCTCCATCAGTATCTCCTCACACACAGCACCTGCAGGAATCTCCTCAAACTCATTACAGCTGGCATGGTTCTCACTTATCTTCATTATTTGCAGATATACTGTTCTGAAAAAAAAAAATGCACAGACAAAACTTCTTCCCATGCTTAATAGTTGACTCCTTACCATCTGCATGTGAGAAGTAAGGCAATTTCTCCCATTAACATTTTCAGGAAACATATCTATGAAAGTCTTTCCCTTTAGAGATGTAGCAATGAAAAGCATGTATGGGACAGTCAAGGAAATGTAACAATGTGATCAGATACCTGCAAATACAAAGGCCCAGCTTGAGATCAGTACAAAGACGACAAGAAAATAGCATCTGCAGAAATGAAGTGACCACATCATGCTCTTCTAAGTTATGGCACTTAGAGAAGATGCATAATCCAGGTATTGAGCAGGGATGGAATCGGCTTCTTTCTCTCAAAGCTCCCATTTTGGCATTTATCATTAGTATGTATTAAGCAATTAGTTAAATACAAAGCATTAACTTGTAAACAGGGAGCAGGAACATCCCACAGCTCTCAACACAGCTGGAGTAATGCCTGTTAGGCCTCATTTACTTGGGAAGGAGAAAACCACATTACATTATTGCACAGAGAGGTACCGAAATCTTGTTTCCTTTGACAGTCCTCACCCACAGGTACCAGGATCCTCCTACCACTCTAAACTTGCATGTTGTTTTTTGACCATTATATTTTGCAGAGACTTTGAATCAAATGGCCAGTTATTCAGACCATTTCTCCTCAACATGCACCAGGAAAACCCATGGGCTTCACATAGGTATCTTTATAGCTCTGTACTAGGGGGGAAGAAATATTTGTTTGCCAGCTACATCTCAGTGAAGAAATATCAACACTCTAAATGTAAAAGACGAGCTGACCTTCAGGAGATTCTAGGTCAGTGGTGATCATGTGATACAGTAACAATGTCAGAAAACACAGTCCTCTAGCCAAGAGCAGTTTCCCTTCTCCTGACTTCCCTACAAACTAAAAAGCTAAGGCACGACCCCACGTCCACCACTACAACGCAAGAAGCACCCTCGACCAGCACGTCGTTGAATGAAGTTTTGCCTTCCTTGTCAGTAAAGCCCGCTACAGAAAAGACAAATCACGGAGGATAAAGTTCAAAAGGAGGCGGAAGAAACCGTCACGAACATGGTCTAGTACGAGAAACTCACCGGGAGAGGGGCGGGGTCCGCCTGCTGGGGGCCGGCAGGTTCCTCGTCTCCGAGCAGCGGCGCGGGCTCGTCGGGCGGCGGCCGGGCCGGCAGGGTGTCGCAGCAGCTGTCGGCCGAGAAGCGGAGGTGGCTCTTGCGCGAGTCGGCCGTGAGAGACACGTCGTGCGAGTAGGAGTGCAGGAAGGCGCGCACGCCGTCGATGCCCACGAAGTGCGTGGCCGGCACGCCGCGCAAGGCGCCGCTGCCCGCCGCCAGCAGCTGCTGCTGCGAGCGCCGCCAGCGCCGCAGGCGCAGCGCCAGCAGCAGCAGCAGGAAGGCGACGAAGAGGCACGACACGGCGGCCACGGCCAGCACCAGCCAGCGCGTCAGGCTGCCGCCCGCCTCGCCCGCCCCCGCCTCCGCCTCCGCCCGCGCCGCGCTGCCCAGCTCGGCCAGCAGCTCGGCCACGCTCTCGGCCAGCACCACGCTCAGCGTGGCCGTGGCCGACAGCGCCGGCCGCCCGTGGTCCTTCACCAGCACCACCAGGCTCTGCCGCGACGCGTCGCGGGCCAGTGGCGAGCGCGCCGTGCGCACCTCGCCGCTGTGCAGCCCCACGCGGAACAGCCCCGGCTCCGTCGCCTTGGCCAGCTCGTACGACAGCCACGCGTTCTGACCCGCGTCCGCGTCCACCGCCACCACCTTGGCCACCAGCGCGCCGGCCTCGCTCGACCGCGCCGCCAGCTCCACGCCCGCCCACACCGAGCCCGACAAAGCCGCCCCCGCCGCCGGCGGGTACAGCACCTGCGGCGCGTTGTCGTTCTCGTCCACGATCACCAGCCGCACCGACACGTTGCTGCTCAGCGCCGGCGAGCCGCCGTCCTCCGCCCAAACCCACAGCCCCACCTCGCGCACCTCCTCGTAATCGAACGAGCGCAGCGCGTACAGCGCGCCCGTCTCCGCCTGCACCGACACGTACGACGACAGCGGCCAGCCCCGCACACCACCCTCCCCCAGACGGTACCGCACGCGCGCGTTCTCCCCCCAGTCCGAGTCCGTCGCCCGCACCCGCAGCACCAGCGCGCCCGCCACGTTGTTCTCCGACAGCCGAGCGCTGTAGCGCTCCTGCGAGAACACCGGCGCGTTGTCGTTCACGTCCAGCACCCGCAGACACAGCACCCTGCTGCTCTGCAGCGACGGACCACCGCCGTCGGCCGCCCGCACCGTCACGTTGTACTCCGACTCCTGCTCCCGGTCCAGCTCTCTCGCTGTCACCACGCGGTAGTAGCTGTCCTGAGAGCTCTCCAGGCGGAACGGGACGCCCTCATCGAGCGAGCAGCGCACTTCGCCGTTGGCCCCCGAGTCCTGGTCCTGTACGTGCAGCAGGGCTACAACAGTCCCCGAAGGGGCGTCCTCAGAGACCTCACTAAGCTGAGAAGTCACTGTTAGTTCAGGCGCATTGTCATTGACGTCGGTTACGGTGATCCCGACCTTTGCCGTATCGTAAAGTTGTCCTCCGTCCCGTGCTTGCACCTCCAGCTCGTAGGCTTTGCCTTCCTCAAAGTCCAGGCTTCGCAATAGCGTGATCTCTCCGGTTTCAGCATCCACATTGACAATATCCAATGCCATGTCCGCCTCTTTCTGCAATGAGTATCTGACGTTCCCGTTCAAGCCTTCATCTGCATCTGTGGCCGTGACGGTGACGAGGACGGAGCCCACGGGCACGTCCTCCGGCACACGCACCGTGTACTCCGCCTGGCTGAACACGGGCGCGTTGTCGTTCGCGTCCAGCACCGTCACGCGGATCCGCGCCGTGCCCGTCCGGGACGGCTCGCCGCCGTCGCTCGCCCTCAGCACCAGCTCGTGGAACGCCGCCTCCTCCCGGTCCAGCGCCTTCACCAACACCAGCTCGGGACGCTGATCCCCGCCGGGGCCCGTCTGCACGGCCAGCGAGAAGTGCTCGTCGCCGCTCAGCTCGTAGCTCTGCAGGGAATTCCGTCCAGAGTCGGGGTCGTGAGCCCTGGGAAGTGCAAACCGCGACCCTGGGGCTGTCATCTCGCTTATTTTCTCTTCCACTTCAATGTCCTTGAAGGTGGGGGAGTTGTCGTTAATGTCCGTGATTTCCACATCAATTTTGTAAACCTTCATTTCCCCCTCCACTATCAGCTCACAGCGCAGCACGCATTGCTCCACCAGCCGGCACAGCTGCTCTCTGTCGATCCTCTCGGCCGTCACTAAATGTCCCGTCTTCCCGTGCAGACCAAAATACTGTGTCCTACCTCTGTCTATAATGCGGACGCCACGGTCTGAGAGCGCCGGCATCTGCAGCCCCAGGTCCTTGGCCACATCGCCCACGAACGAGCCCTTGGGCATCTCCTCGGGCACCGAGTAGCGCAGCTGCCCCCACGCCGCCTCCCAGGCCGCCAGCAGGACGCCCCACAGCAGCACTCGCTGCCGCCGGCCCCAGCGCCTCCCCGCCGCGCACATCTCCGCCGCCGCACCGCCGGCACCGCAACACCGCCGGCAGATCCCCGCCGCCGGTCGCCGATCCGGCTCCCGCTCCGGCTCCGACTTGCCGCTCCCGGCCTTCGCCGCCCGCCCCTCCGCCTCGCTGTATCTCGAATCCGCACCGCGGGGAAGATCGGAAAGCGACCTCTTTCCGAGCCAGCGATCCAGCGATCGAGCCGGGCCGCAGCGGGCGGGGCTGCAGCGCTCCGACCTTCCTCTCGCTCCTCTCGGTCAACAGCGGCGCCCGCAGCCTCCTCCCGGCACTGCACGCACCGAGCGCTGACGAGACGTGCCCGCCCTGCCCCGTCCACGGGAAGCTCAAAAAGACGGAACATTCACTGCGAAAATATCGGGTCCTGTACAGCGGAGACCTGGCGTTATGTTCTTTCTACCGCACATGAAAATACTGATGGGATTCTGATAATCTATAGATACAAAGTTCTCTTAACATGGCGTGCAAAGTATTCTGAATCTACTCTTCTATGGTAGGAAAGCACAGCATCTTCCCTGCAACTGCACAGCTTTTTGTGTCAGTCGTTCTCTAGTGTTTTCTCACTGAGCATCCACACTCGAACACCTCCAGCCAGAGTAGATTCCCAGGCCCTGAGCAATTGCACACAGAAATGATGAAGATCCCTTCTCAAAAGCAGCCATTCTAGGGACTGCCTTTCCCTCTCTGCTTTTTTACTTTTCACTTGCACATCCGAGGCTGCTCTGAATCAACCTGCGTTGCTTCCCTTCTCCAATCACTGCGTCAGAATTTTTAATTACAGCCTTACACAACAGACCGTGCATATACCACTTACTGCTCCATTCTTGATCACAGCCTTAGCGAAAGACACTATCAATCAAAGAATACATAAATTTTGCGGGAAAAAAATATTAAAATGAAATACAAGTTAAAAACAAAATCAAACTAACCAACTAATGAACAAACAACAACAAACCAAAAAAACCGACATGAATTCATTTCTTAAAACTCATTCAATGACTCCATAGAAAAGCCATTTGAGGACCGGTAAACTACCACACATGATGGAACTCTTAATGATAAATAACTGCAGAAAAAGAACAAAGAAAGCGCTGGTAAAGTCGGAGACGAGTCAGAGATCGATAAATTGATCTCATTACTGCTGTCATTTCTGCAGCTCCCTTACACTACAAGATGGGAAGGCACAGAGTGGAAGGTAGGCATATTCGTTACGGAAGAAAAATTTTTCTTTCATCTAGGCACGTTTCTTTAAAACACAGTAACAATAAAAAAAGAAAAAAAAATTTTTCTTCAGACAACAAATCAGTCGCAATGCATCTATTCGGCAAACCATGGTCAGGAAGGAAAAATCACATCACTGAAAGTCAATCATATTCCAAACTCTGCCATACAGAATTAGTAGATCTCCTTCTAAAAGTAAGGATCTGCCTTCACCGTTACTAACTCGTATTACTTTACACAACACAAGCGTTGCAGAAAACCGTGAACCTGAACATTTGAAAAACAGAGGGGTGGTGTCAATACGTTATCACTCTGACAGGAGAAAAGCAAAACTGAAAGCAGGCCTTTTCAAGTCCACTAAGGTTTTTTGCAGCATAAGCTGAAAGACAAGAACTTCCAACTGAGCCGACATCTGTGACACCTCATGAGGCAGAGTGCCCGCTCCCAAAGCCTGCTGCCTAAACGGGGCAGTTATGACAGGCGCTAATTGGAAAGGGAGACCGGCGCTAACTGCACCTGAAAAGAAACAAAGCCAAAGAGCCCACTGCCGCCACCCCGTCGTTACGAAAAGCTCAGAGAGAAGGAGTGAAAGTGCTTACAGACCTGCAGTGCGTCGGGATCGGTGGGCGGCTCTCCCGCGACGGCGCTGCTGCTCGGACTCGGCTTCTCGCAGGGCTCCCCGGCCACAAGCTCCTCCGCGGGCACGATGGGCAGCGGCGGCGGCGGCCAAGAGGCCTCGGCGGCCAAGCGGGGCGGCGCCGCCACGCACAGGTTGTAGGAGTAGGGCAAGGTGCCCTCGCAGAAGTCGGCCGGGAAGGCGGCGCCGGCCAGCGACAAGCGCTGCGCGCCCAGGCAGCGCAGCACGCCGGGCGGCCCGGCCCGCCGCAGCCGCGCCAGCACGGCCAGCGCCACGCTCAGCACCAACAGCGCCGACAGCAGCGCCAGCGCCAGCACCAGATAGAACTGCAGCTCGCCCGCCGCCTCGGCGCCCGCCGCCCGCTCGCTCAGCTCCGGCAGCGCCTCCTGCAAGCTCTCGGCCAGCACCACGTGCAGCGTGGCCGTGGCCGACAGCGCCGGCTCGCCGTGGTCCTTCACCACGGCCACCACGCGCTGCTTGGCCGCGTCCCTCTCCGACACGGCCCGCGCCGTGCGCACCTCGCCGCTCTGCAGCCCCACGCGGAACAGCGCCGGCTCCGACGCCTGCACCAGCTCGTACGACAGCCACGCGTTGCGCCCCGCGTCCGCGTCCACCGCCACCACCTTGCCCACCAGGTACCCGGACGACGCCGAACGCGGCACCACCTCGAAAGCCGAACCCACCGAGCCCGGCGGGGCCGCTCCCGACGCCGCCGGCGGGGGCGGGTAGAGCACCCGCGGCGCGTTGTCGTTCTGGTCGAGCACGAAGACGCGCACCGTGGCCGTCGAGCTGCGCGCCGGCGACCCGCCGTCCTGCGCCCGCACGGCCACCAAGAACTCGCGGCACTGCTCGTAGTCCAACGAGCGCTGCGCTTACACCGCGCCGCTCCGCGCCTCCACCGACACCAGCGGCGCCGCGCCCGCCGCGCCCGCGCTGCCGCCCGACAGCCAGTAGCTCACGCGCCCGTTCGCGCCCGCGTCCAAGTCCCGAGCCACAACGCGCAACACCAGCGCGCCCACCGCGTTGTTCTCCCGCACGTACGCGCTGTACGACGCCTCCTCGAACACCGGCGCGTTGTCGTTCACGTCCGACACCTCCAGCAACAGCTCCGCCACGCTCGATAGCGCCGGGCTGCCCCGGTCCCGGGCCACCACCGTCACGCGGTGCTCGGACGCCTGCTCGCGGTCCAGCGCGCTCGCCGTCACCACTTTGTAAGAGCCGCCCGACGACGCCACGATCGACAGCGGCGCCTCTCCCGACAGCTCGCACGACACCTCACCGTTCTCGCCGGAGTCCCGGTCCCGCACTTTCAGCAGGGCAACCACGGTGCCGACCGGCGAGTCCTCGGGCACGGGGCTCGACAGTGACAGAATGGTGATCTCGGGCGCGTTGTCGTTCTCGTCTATGACGTCAATCTGAACTTCACAATGACCAGTGAGTCCGCCCCCGTCCCTCGCTTCCAGACCGAAGCTGTATTTATTCGCCTCCTCGAAATCGAGGGGCCTCTCCGTTCTGATCTCACCGCTCTCTTTGTCGATAGAGAACAACTCGCGGATTCCGGCCGGGACGTTGACAACGGAGTAGGAGACCCTCCCATTGGACCCCGCGTCTGCATCCGTGGCCCGCACCTGCAGGACCAGCGAACCTGCCGGCAGATTCTCCACCACTCGCGCGTCGTAGAGGTTTTTGCTGAACACGGGCGGGTTGTCGTTGGCGTCCGTCACGTTGACACGAACCTGAACAGTCCCGGACCTCGCTGGGTCCCCCCCATCCACTGCCGTCAGCACCAGCTCAAAGGAGCTCTGCTTCTCCCGGTCCAACGCTCTCTCCAGAACCAATTCCGGCTGCTTCTTTCCACTCGTGATCTCCTTCACGGCCAGACTGAAGGACGGATTGCTGCTGAGTTGATAAGTAATCAGGGAATTACTTCCCACGTCCGCATCTTGGGCCATCTCCAGAGGAAAACGAGCACCTGGAATCGTCCATTCACCGATCTCGAGGTCCAGGGCATCCTTGCTGAAGACCGGGGAGTTGTCATTCACGTCCTCAATGGCCACTTCGACACGGAAGACGTTGAGCGGGTTGTGCACCAGCGCCTCGAAGCTGACCGAGCAGGACGCCGACTTGCCGCACAGCTCCTCCCGGTCCAGCCTCTCGCTCACGTACAGGTTCCCGTTCCCCTCGCTCACCGTGAAGTATTGCTTGTCCGCGCTGAGCCGCAGCTTGCGCGCCGGCAGCTCGTCGGCGCTGAGCCCCAGGTCCCGGGCCAGCGGCCCCACCAGCGAGCCTCTGGGCAGCTCCTCGGCCATGGAGTAGCGGAGCCGCTCCGCCGCCGCCCGCCAGCACAGCCACAGCAGCACAGCGCCCAGCACCGGCGCTCGCCCGCCGCCCGGCCCGCCGCTCGGCCTCCGCCCGCCCGACATCGCCCACAGCGCTCGCTCGCCGAGCTCGCCAGGCTCCTGCCGCCGCCCCGCCTCCCTCGCAGCCGCTCGGCGCAGCCACAGCAGCGCCCGACAAAGCAAACCCGGACCGCCGCCGCCTCCCACTCGCACGCCTCTGCTGCCCGCGCCGCCTCTCGCCTCTGCTGCCCGTGCCGCTGCCGCTCTGGCCCGCACTGCCCGCCCGAGCCAGCAGCCTGCGGGGACAGCACGCACAGGCGGCGGCGGCGGCGGCTCCAGCAACGCTCGCCGGCGGCCCAACAGCGGCACCCGGAGGCGCCGACACAACACTGCAGCCGCCTCACGCCCGCGCTCGGCGGGGAACAACTTTGGCCCGGGATGGGGCTGCAACGGCCCTGGGGTCTCTCTTCTGGTATTATCAGCAAGCGCAGAAGCTCCCGCCTAATGCTTAGCATGAAACCTGGGGATTTTAGTAACAGCAGTAGTCTTATATCGCAAAGGGGTGGTGTGGTTGTTAGCTACCACACTGTTAAAATATTATTATACTCCACCACAGATTTTTACATCTAGTGGCCTTAACTGGCAGAAAAACTAATAAAGAAATATGTGTGGCAGAGCAGTCATGGTGTTCCCTTAGGAACAGTCAAAGAACTGAAGTAAAAAATCTGAAAATATCTTTGCTCAGATGGTTTAGAGATTGTGTATCACTGGTTTTCCCAGCACCTGTGAGAAAAGGAAATCAGTGAACTAAACACTGTGTAGATCCAGAAGCAGTGTTCACTTCTAGTGCAGTTAAGGCATGTCAGTTTGTCTCAAGTCCTGTGCCTATTTCACAGGGCAAGAGAGAGGCAGAAGGAAATCCTGGAAGATCCCATATCTGCTCTTCCTGCTTTTCCAAACTCTATTATTTCATGCCAAACCTGCAAATCTTTTCCGCTTTTGATGGTGTTTCATCCTCCTGCCCGTGTCCTGACCGATGTCACTGTACATACCAGGCAGAAAAAAAAAAAGCAGTCCACATCCAGACACTGACTTCTCTTCCATGTAGAGAAACCTTTCATTTTCTTGGTGAAAACTCTGAAGGCCAAGGCCTGCTATAAAAATCAATGTCACATTTCTATCTCCTTGATTTGGGGATCTCCTAAGCAAAAGTCCATCTAAGAACAGCATGAGCAGCTGAATGCCTTTCAACGATTTCTGACAATTCATACACAAACCTATATCTTTCTTCTGACCTCACTGGGACAGAGACTTCTGTGCTGTGGTTTTCAGTTGTTTTTCCACAACTCTGCCTTGAACATTCATGCCCAAAGCACTTGGAAACTCACTGAAGCCTCAAGGTGCAAGCTAGGCAAGCTGCAGTGATTTCAAGGGGCTACTAAGTCTCTCTTGACTGAACTGAATGACTTTACTAAGCTTCAGATCTTCCTTTTATCAGAACAACATCACTTTTTGGCACTTAATAAAGCAAAGAAGCCAAACCAAATACTTCCCACAGGCCCACATGGGGCTGGTTATTCACTTCTAGACACTGTCAGACACATTTGGGCCTGCACAATGTAGGGAATCACACAGAGGGACACATAGATGTGCAGTCCTCAAAGACATAAGAACAACCCTCTGATAACTGGAATTGGCCAGCAGAGCTGTACAGTCTCTACCATGTTCTGGAGCTTGCCAGAGGGAGATCAGAGGTGACTGCTGCTATGCAATAATGTTCCTTGATCTTGTTTATGTTTGTTATGCACTTGGAGTCAGCAATGGGTAGCTCAAATGTCTCGCTTATTTCTGATTCTTAATAAACAAAACCAAAAGCTTTTACTGGTTGAAATTAGGTAGATATACAAGTGCTTTGCTACAACTCTGCCTTGAAAACAATCTCCTAGAGCCACTTTTCACCTGGAAGCCACTAAGTTCTGAACCCAGAAATGAGGCCCTAAAGTCTTTATTTTGGGCTACATAGTAGGGGATTCATTTCTGGAAATGCACCAGTCCTTGTGAAATTTTCTACTTTGTGGCCTGTTCATATCCTATGAATATGAAGTTATAAGTGCAAATGCCTTATCAAAGGCCTTTATCTGAATAGAAGGACTTTGGAAAGCCTCAGTTTTAGCTTCTGTTTCATTTTCCTCACACAAAACGTTCTGTCTTTTTGTTGTTTCAAAACAATGTCAGTGTTAGTGCAAAACAACCCTCAGAGTAAAAAATGTAAAACAACAGACTGCAGATGGTAAACATGAACTACAGCCTTCCAGGAAACACAGCTTGGAGGAAGAAGAAGGGTGGGAAAATGTAACTGCTTCTTTTATAAAACTCTCCATCAAAAATTACAGAGAGATATAGGTGGAGAAAAGAATTTTCACACATGAACTAAAAGCCATTTTACCCATTTGTCATCATTCGCATCTCTCTCAAACCACACACAGCTTGCAAATTGGCTTCTGACTCTCATAATTGGCAAAAACTTCTCATGAGAGAATGCCAAATGGATTTCAGTCTCTTCACCACCAAAATCTGGGCCCAGTGATCCAGCCAGGTTTTTACCCATCCAAGAGTGCACCCATCAAAAACCAGGGCAGCCAGTTTCTCCAGGAGAATGCTGTGGGAAAAGGTGGCAAAGGCTTTACTAAAGATCAGATAGACAAAATCCACACCCTTTCCACCAAGTAGGTCACCTTGTCATAGAAGATCAGGTTAGTTAAATAGGACCTGCCTTTCATACAGCCCTGCTGACTGGGCCATCACCTGGTTGTCCTGTAGATGCCAGATGATGGCACTGGAGATGATCTGGTCCACAATCTTCCACAGCACCAAGGCCAGGCTGACAGGCCTGTAGTTGCCCACTCTCCTGGCCATCACATTTGCTAAATCTCTGGTCAGCTGGGAGCTCTCCAGTTAGCCAGGACTGGTGATCAGTGATGAGAAGTGACCCAGTGAGCTCTTCCACCAGCTCCCTCAGAACCCTTCAGTGCATCTCACCTGGCCTCATGGATTTGTGTGACTAAGTGGTATAGCAAGTTGCTGCAAACTTGGATTCTCCTTGCTTTATGAGGACTTCCTTCTGCTCCTCATCCCCATCTCCCAGCTCAGGCATTGAATACCTTAAGAACAATCGATCTTCCTATTAAATTCTGGGGCAAAGAAGGCATTAAATGCCTCAGCCTTTTCCTCAGTCTTTGTCACTACACTTACCCTTCACATCCAACAAAGGATGGACGTTCCCCTTAACCCTCCTTTTACTGATCATTACATATAGAAACATTTTTATTGTCCTTTATGAATCAGGTGGAATAATATGTCTTAGGACAAACTTACTGAGCAGAATCAACTCAAAGGCATGGTCCTCCACCAGGTACAAGCTGTGTTAACTATGACAGGCAAAGAAATGACCATCTGTTCTTCTACAGCTCCACCTCCTAGAGCTCCCCTGTCTTCTCTCCAACCCCACACAACTAGCAGTTTGCTTCTGACCTTCTCAAAACTGGCAAGAATATATCATGAGAGGATAAAGCACTATAATTACACCTAGAAGGGAGGTACATTTATCTGCTCACCATCATTCTGAGAAGAAATAGAAGGATTCTAAAGCACACAAGTGATAAAAGGCCAACATAAAAAAGGAGTGGTCGTCCAACCCAGAATGGCTCCTCAAACCAATGGTGTAGGGGGAATCTACTCCTCTCTTTATCACACGCACTTTTCTGCTTCTACTAAGGTTATACTTACACCTATTCCTCTCAACAAAAACTGAACACACAGACACCCTCACACCTCCTGCCTTTCACACCTGCTGTAGCATGAGTAAGAGGCAAATATGTGCTGCTAAAGGAAGCTATGGTGACAATTACAAGTAAACTTACACAAGAAATCAAGAAAAGAAAATCAAGAATATAATTCAGACAAGCAAGGCAAGGAAGCATTACAAAAAGGAGGCTTGACACAGAGTCTTCTCAGTCTTCTCTGTGGGTATGGAAATTCCTCCCTGAGAGGACCTGGAAGTCATTGAGGTGTCAAGCTGCAAGTGTGACCCTAAAAGTCTTACTGTGGCGTGCATACCTTACACAAATATGAAGCTGCAATTGAAAACACCTTATTATGGGCCTATTTCTCAAGTTCAGTCTTCTCAGAAATTACAGCAGAGTCTCTTTTTTCTTCTCCTTTGTTTTTCCTCACACACAAAATTCTTTCTGAGGAGTTTGAAGCAAGGATTTGCTGCAAAAGCACAGTCATGCTTTCAAATGCAAAAGTATTTAGCAGAAATGGAGAAAAAGAGCCATGACCTTCCAGGAAACAACGCTTGAAAGAAACTGTAATTACAACTACAAAGAAATACAAGTACAGAGGAACTCTAAACTGCAGCGTTCCAGACAGATACAGGTGGATAAAGGAGGCCTCACACAGGAATTATAAGCTGTTCTACACATGCATCATGGTTCTGCATGCACAGTAATTATGGAAATACTTTATTACTGGAGGACTATCATTGTCCTTCAGGATAGGGAAAGGAAGATCAGAGAAGAAATGGCACTGGCCTTGGTACCAGGCATGAAATCAAACAATTTCTCAGCAAACCCCACCTATTTTCTGTCTCACCTATTTTTTGGTTCAAAGTCAGCCTCTCACCCTCATTGTTCTGCATTCACAGCCTTTGGTTCCACCATGGATGATGTCCAGTATTTTGACTGTATATCAGCCTCAGGGGAAAGGACATGTAATTCAGTGATATTTGAGGAAAATAATAGTTTATGGAAGCCTTTGTCTTGGCAGCTGAACACTTTGAAATTATGGATGGAGACTGGCCCCCAGCAAAACACTTAATAGAGAACTTCTAATGTTTTAAGACTTACCAGCTAAAATGAGGCCCAGCTTTAGGCCCGCACGACAAGTATGGCAAAAATGGGAAACCTTCAAAACTGAAGGTACCCTACCTAACATTTCAGATTACATCAAATGTAGTAGATAAAAAAAGAATATCTAGTTGGTAAAAAGGCCACCATAGCCACAGGTTCTCAGAGTAGGGACTCTCTTCTCCAACCCTTCACAACTTTCATGGTGTTCTCTGACATAATTTGCAAGAACAAAACACCAGTTGCTAAGACAAAACACTTGTAATGTGCTCCATGATCAGGCCATGTACCTTTACCAGGAAGTGGAGGTACATTTCTCTGCAAGATCCAATAGCCTGACATTTCAGATAATTTGAACAGTAATGGGTACACAAGAAGGGTCTCTACTTGGTAAAAAGTCCACGGAACAATCACACAGGAGCTCACACCAAGGACCACAGCTGCAGTTCCTCAGTGTAATTTCTTTGGACAAGAAAAGAGGGGAAATGCATGGAACCATGACTGTGGGCCTTGTATGAAAACGAGGAAAAATTGAACTTTTACACCATTTTTGCATCTTTAAGACATTTCTAACTACACCAAGCTTTTTACCAGCCCTGTCTCTGGAC